GCTTCGTATTAAAGAATGAAACAGGCATGGGACAACTCAAGCTTATAACTGTACAGTTTCTTTTTTTTTTTCTTCAAGGTTGAAGTTTTCAACGGTTGATGGCTTCCATTGCAAACCGAACAAGCCGTAATAATTCCTCAACATCCTGAAAATTAAAATCCAGGGCCTTTTTCAGTGAATTGAGGCTCTCTTTATTCGACGATTCACCGAGTTTTGCAGTAGCGGCTGTGAATGCAGTTCTTGATTTCCTTGAGGCTTCCATTGCAAAGTTAACATCCTGAGCCTGCAAACAAGTAATGCATAAAGAAGCTTTACTCACGGCGTATACATTTTTTCCGCAACCGTATATCATGTGGACGTGTCAATCGATATAAAAATACTGAGATCAATTACAAACATATCCTTGTGATATAGTACCAAAACAGGGGCATTAACGTATTCATCAAAGATAAATTGGTTTTTAGCAATTAGGTCAAACCTAAAGGGTAGGTTTTTCAAAACCATTCCATACTTTGATGTATACGTAACGATATACTTACGAAATTCAGTATACGCAAAAAACCAGAACGATTGCGTGAAGTGATGATATGGCTTCCAGAAACTTGAGGGGAACCCACAGCTTTGGGAAGGGCAGCCTTGTCAGTAGTTATTTGGTGGTTCAAGTTATCAACATCAGATGCAGAGGAAGAAGGAGATTCACCTAAAAGGTAATAAATTAACAGTAATAAGAACCTACAAAGTTGATGAAGGTTATAAAAACTAAGTTAGCGAACTGAAAAGAATATTAACGCAACCCCCAAAATCTAATCAAACTAATAACAATTCATTTGGATACACAAGGCGTATAAATTTATATCACAAAGGGATCAGTTGATGATACAATGAAATAATATCTTCTGAATACGCATATCGTACGAAATTGCAACCTCAAGAGGAATTTATAATGGACTATTTGTGAGTAAAAATCTGAAGGAGTTCTTTGCAATTTCAGAATATAAATGGATTTCTTGCAATTAGACTAAACCTCAGGAATATCATTCATCTAAATTTACCAGGAGCAACAATTTGTAGAGCCGTTTGCAACTCATTCCGATCCCTACTTGCACTGTTATGTGAAGAATAAACCACACGCAAGTAAGCAACCTCCATGCATTTATAAGCCAAAGAAGCAGCAGCCATGTCCTTTGACCTTTCGTATTCATGGGCACAAAACCTAGAAAAGAAAAAAATACCATTCAAACAAAAAGAAAGCCTATCCACTCACTACATTTCCATTTAAAGATTAATCGTCACAATTAGTTTGAGAAATGAACTGAAAGGTTTTGACAGAGATGCACAAGGAACACCAGAAAATATAATGATGGTTACAGCCACCTGAAAGATTTTGCCATGTGGTACGAAATGAACAAAATGCAACTTCAATTAGACAAGGAAACATAAACTAAGCTCCAATTTAGGAAGCTACTTACTCGCATAGTTTGGCAGTGCTGCTATATATATGCATTGAGTGCATTAAATCGTTATGCTTCGTAGCTTCATTGCTTCCATTTTCCAACAAAGAGGCTCCATGGAGAAACTTGAGCGCAGCTTGGAAGTAAAATCCAATAGTTTCAGTGGATCCAGTATTCTGAAAGAGAGAAAAAGAATGCATTTAACTAGCATTGCAAAAATACAACAAA